GCTTCCGCAGAATAATAACCTCCTAATTCTCAGCAGATGAGTATAAGCCTTCTGCAACATCAAAAAAACAAGACCACGCTTAATATGTAACCTTTAATGGCATATGTTTTTAAATTATACGACTCCATCGGACCTCTGTAATTAAGCACAAGAAATGCCTGAAACCACTCTGCCTGCCCTGCAGACAGCAGAAGGCACCTAGATAGTCCCCTGCTCCCAAATGCAGAACAAAACATCCTAAAAAGTGTTCACAGATTTGCACATCAATCTTCTCTACCCCAAAATTTGCCGTTGAAAAATGTTGCCACAAATCCCTGTGGCTGGAGAACGCCAGTACCCCAAGATCACCTGGAGCTGGGGCTTGCTCCATACCCATCTGCCTGCTTGGGTTCTCGATTTCTCACAGTGACACCTTTTTCCCCTCCTTCATATGCTCCTGCCATCCCACGTCACCCATCGTGTCACTATCCAGCAGGATCTGGGGGCCAGGGCTGACACCTACTTATCTATTTACCTGTGCAGCACCCAGCCTGGCATGTGTAACCCTTCATAGCTCCATCCAGGTGTCCTGAACAACCCTCCTGCGTGTCTTCAGTGACCACTTGCCACTCGTGGCTAAAGAAAATGGGATGTGGGCACCTCCTGACTCAGTCCAGGACCAATGGGGACTGCTGCGTCCCCCCAGCAGCTCAAGCACACATCTTTTCCTACTGCCCTTGCAGTGTGACCACAAGACTGGTCACCTCACACCTTGCAGGGTGAGGTTTGTTCTCTCTGTGCAGTGCTTGGGAGATGTTAGAAATAAATGGGGCAGAGTCCCAGCTTGGCCTGTTCTCCAGCCGATTGCTCGTCGGCGCGTGTGTTGTGCAAATTAAGACTCCACAGTGCAGTCACAAACCTCCACAGCTCAGGAGCTCCCCGGAGGCATGAGGACAGCCCCCAGCCTGACCCGCTGCTGCAAACTGTAATAAAACGTCCTGCAAGGCTGGGCTCAGGCTGAAGTAACAAAACTCAGCTGTTCAGATGAGCCAAAGCCCACATTTGCTTTTGTTTCAATTTTTTTTTTCCCTCTTTCCTTGATGCAGAGCTGCAAGCATTTCAGAGCGTGGACAGCAGGGCTGGGTTTGTTCCTGCCTCTGCACAGGGGGGAATGTCCTTGCTCAAAGGCTGGAAGATGGGTGAAACGGCAGTGAGGAAAGGGTCAAAACACATCCCCCCTGACTGCGAGCAAAAGAAAAATGTTGGCAGACCAAACCTTGCCACAGGAATAAAAGGTTGTCCTGACTGTTCATATTACTCCACATGGGGTGAGTAAAACTGTCGGTCGGACTGAAGCGTCTGATATACAAAGGGGAATAAAAACTCATTAAAGGTCTAAAAGGAAACCCTATTAAAATACCAAATATAAAATGGAGGAGACTTGATCACCCTAGTGCTAGAGAAGTGTCACGGGTTGTTTTTTGTTTTTTTTTCTGAAAGCAGAGGAAATGTGTTTGTGGAAAGCCAGGTGGGATGAGGGGCAGGTAGAGTGTCAAAGAGCACTGATAATATTTCAGGGTCTCACTAGGAGCCTGAAATACGAAGGGGATTTATTCTGCTTTCGGTGGGGAGGAGAGTGCTAGCAGATTTTTGAAGGCATTCCAACGAGGTTCATATTCATCTGTTTCTTAAATCGAGAGCTCTTGGCTGCCACTGTACCGAGGTAGGGAGCATCTCCACCTCTCCTCTCCTGCCTGGGACGCAGCCTGGCTCATAGCCGAAGGCGAATTAGCACCGGTGGGTCCTTGTGATTCTCCTGCCCTGGCCCGGCTGCTGTCCCTCTGAAAAGCCAGCACACCAGACCATTTTTACAAGGACTGAAATACCCTGAGAACAGTCTTTCTCACGGCATCTCATTTCTACTTTATTTGGTCTTGGGGAAGGAAAGAAATTACGAGGGGAAAGAGCTAAATGAACGATTTTCTTTCAAGCATTAAAAAACCACGTCGTCCTGCTAGCGCTGGAAGTAATGAAGCCTGGTTTCCAACAGATTCGTGCCCCATGGTTGATGGACTTTAAACTGAATTGCACTGGGGCTGCGACGGGCTTTCCCCCCTTCTTAGACACCAGAAAAGCCACATGGGGAAGAAAGACATGATGAACACCTCAGAGCAATTCCCACCTGATCAGCCACCCTGGAGTCACCTTCTTAGGCATTTTCTCCTGTGTGGACTATGCAGTGGCTCGTAGGCATGAATGCTACCAAGGCTTCTCCACAGCTTGGGAATTTTTGTCCCATCTCATCCCAGATCTGAAGTTTTCTGATCGTGGTTGAACTCGGAGAAGGCATAAATGGAGGGTTTCTCTCTCTCACATGCACACAGCTCTTATCACAACACTTTTAGGAACTTGTTACATTTGGGATTTCTACCTGCTGTCCATTTGGTTGAAATTGGCACCAGAATTCAGTAATTACCAGGGTTGGGGCTGTGAGAGAAACACGCGCTCATACACAGGTAATCATCACAGATATCTCATTTCCTCACAAAATCAGGGTCCATGTAAAAGCTTGTATCTTCTTTAGGCAGGGGTTGAGAGCTGCTAAGGCAGGTCCCGAGCTAACCAGTTTTCCTTGCTCTATTAACATTTTGCTCCTCATGCACTTTTTTTCTTAACCCCTCCTCTTGGAACCTGGTCTTTGGAGAACAAGGATGGTTTCCTCCCATCTCAGCAACATCAGGATACAAACAGCCCAGCATTCACTCATACACACATTATAATCACATAAATTTTGTTTCCTTATGAAACCTGAGCAGAGCTGATTCCATACAGCAGACAACGCTTCATCAGCACAGTGCAATGCCCTAGGATGCACTTCAGAGACTAAAACCGGGGGGAACCTGCCTTCATGTCACCATGGAAAGTTTGCCCATTAATAGAGGCCACGAATCTGTGGAGATGCCAAAAGTAGCTAAAAAAGACCACAACCCTTTTCCCAGAAGCTCACTTATAAGAATCTCTTTTACAGTTCCAGCACTGAACATCCTTTTCTGGGCCAAACAAGCACAAGAGCCATGACGTGAGTCAGCTCTGAGTGCCTGGAAAGACCTGCGGCACCTTGGTTGGGCTCAGCAGACTGATGGATTAGCACTTATCCATGTGGAATTGTAGGTTTCGATCCTCAGAGCCTTTTCCAGTCAATTGATCTAACCCAAGCCTTTCATCGGGTACAAATGGGCCTTTGACTTGCAACAGAATGAAGCAGCAGTAAATATAAATGGGACGTGAAAAATTTTTTGAAAGGACATTTTAATGGTCTGTTCGCTCTACAGCTCTGCTGTTGCAGTCAGAGAGAAATTCCCTTTCTACTCCAGGAGCTGGTGGATAGAAACCCATTCCTCTGGCCCTCAGCTGCTCATTCCCAGGGAGCAGAAGTCTTCTGCATCTTCAGTTAATACCCTGACCTGGTCCAGAGTGCTCCTTGTCAGGCCTCCTGGAAGCACTGATGTATGTCCAGTCTGCAACCCTTCCACACCTCTCTCCTGTAAAATAAATCAAGAGCATGGCAGGGCTCTGTGAGGAAATGAAGGGCACGGTCCCAGCAGCCAGTAATGGCTTTACTGATGCGTGGTATCACGTATTCTTTCCTTAATGTTTCACCTTCCAGCTTGCAGCTAATTATTACCTATATCCCACTCCTTTATTTCAAGATATCCCCAAATATACCCTCATCTTCTTCATTCCCAACTCTCGGCTCCCATTGCAGGCAGCTGACAAACACGAGCCCGTGCTGAGCCGAGCCCCAGCCCGCAGCAGTACAGAGCTCCCGCTTCCTTCGCACAGAAAGGGGCAGAGACAAGCACACAGCAAAGCTGTCTGTGCCACAGAGGGATGGGAAAGCTGTTGCTCTCATGCCAAAACATGAGCAGAAGGATCTGTTTGTGTTTCCAGGTGTGTTTTGAGACATTTCTAGCACCTTATGGCTCTTGCTGGCCCTTGAAATGGATTGAACGCCAGCCTCATCGCTGGTCCTCGCACTTTGATTGCGGGAGTTCTCTGGAAGCTCTTTCTCTTTTTTTATTTACTTCACACAGCTTGTGGCTTAGGACGGGGCGTTACGTTTGACTTACAGGCTCAAGGACCAGGAGAGCTGTCTCTTCCCCCCAAATGCAAAAGGCACTGACGTGCAAGACAAAGACCATGAAGCAGGAGCCTATGATGTCAACCTCAGACCTTGAGCTTCGCTAGGTCTGGGCACGAAACCCAACATGGCAGAGCAGGCTGAGCTCAGGCGATGTGAAATCTAACCAACATATTTTACACCCACACCACTAAAAATAGGACGCCAACGCCAACTCTTCATCTGGAAAGAGAGGAAACACCAGCGTTGCTGTGTTTTGGATGAGGCGCAGGACTGAAGTCCTGACCATATTTAGCCATAAGATCATCTCTTAGGACTTCTGCATGAGAGTGGAGTTTTAGAAAAATTTTTCTGGCCAAATGCCAGTTCTGGCTTTATTATTTCTCCCTGCTATCTCAGTACTTCATTTCATCACCTAAATTGCTGTGTTGAGTTACTCGAGGCTGCTAAAATGCTGTCATGCTACAGAGGCAACTATATGAAGGAAATTATGTCTCTATTGAAAGTGCTCCATACAGCTGAAATCAGGCCACCTATTTAGGTGTCAGGTTTAGATTTTTCATTGTAAGCACAGAAACTTGAAACATTTTGCCCACATGTGTTGAAAGCTACGAAGACATTAAAGATTATTCATGGAATAAATATTCATTTGCAGGAAGAGTTGGGGTTTTTTTTTAACACATGAGTATTTCAGGCAGCATGTAGCGCTGGACACCCCCGGTCCTCGAGCACGCAGCCTGCGAGGGGCAGAGTTACTGTGAGCAGCAGCGCGTAGTTCTTCTAAGGGTGGTCTCACCGAAGGAAGGCCATCTCTCATCCTTCTTTTCCTTTTTTTTTTTTTTTTACCTGTTTCCCTGTTCCCACCTCCTTGTTTTTAGGGTTTTCTCAGCTCTGGATGGAAACTGCAATGTTTTTTGAGCTGGCTGCAGTATGGCTCGAACATTCCCATCCCTAATGCAACTGACTCGGCATAGATGAAGAGTTTGTGTCTTGAAGAAGCCTTTTCCTTCCCTTCCTGAGGAAAGGTTCTTCAAAGTGGGAACTCTTCTTGTGTCCTGGTAGCTGCCAGGTAGTTCCCTTCCTGTGGAGCTCAGTAACCATGGTGCCATCAAAAAAAGAGAAAGAGCAGAGCATAATCCTGATCAGCGATGATGAAGCTGAGAGCACGCTTGGGAATTCAGTTCTGTTAGTAGACTCCCTGGGTAAGTACAGGGCTCTTGTTGGCCATGAAGTTGGGTAAAGCTCTTCTGAAATAAACTGAAGTAAAATGTTATGTGATAAGCTTGAAATGTGGCTTTCTGCTGCTAGGAAAACAGAGTACTTCAAAAATAAGTCAAACCAGGAAGAACTGTCCTTATTTGCCAACTATTGGGATTTCTTTGATGGCATTAGTTAACTTAAACAATATTTCTGTGCAGTTTCAAAATATTACAAATCTAGCTGAGACTAGGCCTTTTCAGTGTCAATTGGATTCTTTGTTATTAAATTACCTCTCTTTTGATAGTATGTGGAAGCTTTTTTTCCCTGGGACAGTGTAACCATTCTTATTAGCACCATATGAACTCATAAGAACATTTGTGCCTTGAAGTGTTTTTAAAAAGTGAATGTCAATAGCTGGGTAAAATTGTAATGAAGTTGTAGTTAACCTTTATACTGATTTACACCTCATATTCTCTTTTCTGCAGAGAAGTCTGCCCTGGGAGAGGAGAAATCTGCAGAAGTTGTGGATGAGGAATGTGAACTCATGGTTACTTTCTGTAAACAAGCAAAAGTGATGCCTCATGCAAGATATGACTGTACAATGCACCCATTTGAGTATGTTCAGTGGTGGGGAGGTTCATATGAGGGTTTCATCTTCCACATTTAGTCCAACTTGTCAAGTAACCTTGTTAGCTTTTTAACAGCTGAAAGCAGAAGTAGAGTTGGATAAGCATGTAACTTGTTTCATAAATAACCTTATGTTTTTCAACTTTGTAGGCGAATGGAGTGTGATACCTGCTCACCCCTTGGAAAAAATGCTGATATTTGTAATCAGTGCTACTGCTACATTTGTGATAAACTAGCTTCTGAGGTAAGAAGAGCTGTAATCGAGAAACACACAACTTTGAGTAAACTGAATTGCTCAACAGCCTTTTTAAAAGAAATCACTCTTAAGCACACTAAAAAAATAAATTGTATGTGAAATTTGATTGTTTTAACTGTTCCTGTCCTAAATGTTGATATCTGTCTGCTTCACAATCCAGTCACTGGGTTTAGGACTAGTGGTCTGGCCAGTTGTTGGAGCAGACATTCACTTGCTATAAGCAAATGTACCTCCTGTTTGCTTTAGGCACGCAGTGTATTTCCTGGAATCAAATTAATAAATCGGACTGCTTTTCACTGTACTAGAGAAATGTCAGTCTTTTAGACTGTCCTAACCTAGGGTGAGGGAGTGGGTGAGTTGTGGTAACTGAGTGGGTGGTGATGCTTCGTTTGGGTTTTTCTTTCAGACAGTGGAATAGGCTGCCCAGGGAGGGGGTGGAGTCACCATCCCTGGATGTGTTTAAGGGTCGTTTGTATGAGCTGCTGGGGGATGTGTTGTAGGGGAGAACTTTGTAGCGTCAGGCTGATGGTTGGACTCGATGATCCCAAGGGTCTTTTCCAACCTGAATGATTCTGTGATTCTTAAAATTCAGAAAAGTTTGAACTGTGAGCAAAGTTGGAGTGAATATGCGTTGACCAACTGTTACCAACTTACAGTGGGGAGGGCATCAGCCCTAAGTGTCTCTAAGATATTCAGGAATCTAAATTACTATGGGCTTTTTTTTTGTTCTGTTAGCCATGATATCGAGTTATTGCTGTATTGGCCTCTTGCTCTGACCATCAAAATACTTCGCTGTGGCTTTGCCTAGGTGTGTAAAGGATGAAGTAAATTGTGGTCCTTCACTCAGAGGAATTAACCTTTGATTTGTTTAACTGGAAAGGAGGGGGCAGGGGGAAGAAAACCCAAAACTTTCTCCCGTTTTTCATGTTTTATGAAATAGTGCCAGAATTGGACAACCCCTTCCCTCTGTCACTGCAATGCACACAACAAAAGCAAATTCTGGAAGGAACAGCGTGACTTTGCCTTGGCTGGTGTTCTTGTAATGTTCAATTTGGAGCTCACAGATATAGACACAGACCTTCGGCATGGTGGTAAGTGTTAGGCTCTCACTCTGTCCTGGGAGACCTGTGGCTACTCAGTCTGTGGCTTGAGGGATGGCTTGTCTGGTCCACAGCTCTCCTTGCAAAGGCTTAATGAATTTTTAAAGTAGCAGCTTACTGTTGTTCCTCTCTTTCTGGGCCATACTCAGACCAGACACAGGTCTGCAGGTCCAGTTTGTACTTTCCTGCTTTTCTCCCTGTGGAAGAAAAACCCCAAAGCTTTCCCAGCCAATAAGATTTGGTGCAAGTAACTTGCTAAATATTTTATATGGAGTACTTGTGATTGTCTGTCTTTTCATTTTGAAAAAATAAAAAAATGCACTAACAATTTCACATCTCTCTGTTCTCTTAGGAAGTCTTCTAATAAAATTTATGCAGGAACTTTCTGTGGAATATAGTAAGTACCTGATTGGACAAAGAATGCCTCCCACAAAACATGAATGCTTCTGCCTCCCAAAATTTCCACCTGGGCAATGCAATACCTGCAGATCACGCAACATGGAGACTGTGTACAAGTAAGTAGCTGAGTTGTGTTGACACTAGCAGTACGTACTGGTCAGTGCAGGTTTGATTTCCTTTAGTCAAGTGATAATCAGAGTCGTGGCACCTGACACAGCAGAAACATCATTGAGAATTTGCTTGGCCAGTGAGCTATTAAATTGCACTCAGATGTAGTTTAAACACTGGCTGAAATGCTTCTTTAACTACATATTAAATATAAGTTTAAATAGATCTCTTGTGCTATACTAAGACACTCGATAATATCCCTCATTATTATAACCGGAGAAAGAATGAAAGTGAAGTCCATGTTTTTACTAATCTTTTTCAGAATGGGGTTTAGCTTTTTCTCTATGGTGTGTGCCTTTAAAATGCCTAAAGGAATGGTTGTGCAAATACCTTTTCGCTATGTTATAGATGCTTTTTGAGGAAAGTCAAGTCAATTTGCTCTCAAACCATAGGACGGTCATAATTTTCAGTTGTTTATGAAGTACATCATTGCAAACACTTTATCTTATAGACTACTTAACTTTCTTAGGTATTCTGGAGTTTTTGAGATGGTGACAAAATTTTTAAATGAGGCAGAGAGAGAGAGTCCTAAAGCTGCTGCTGTCATGTTACTGGGAGCAGCTAAAGAGATAGCGCTTCATAAAGACCCTGCTTTGTAAGTATCCAGTTCCACATCTAGTGTGTAATCTTCATTTGCTCCTCAAAGGGAGGAGATGCAGTGAGAGAGTTCTGGTTTTCCATTTATTAAGAGTAAGGACAGTGTAAAGATCACAGCCCTGATTGCAGCACAGTGAGAGGAAAATGACTACACCGAGGGAGAAATGAGATTGGTTTGGGGAGGGATTTGGGGAAAAAGAGAAAGTTAAAGGTTGAATGTGAGAGGAAGAAGTCAAGTGAGATTGAGTCATGAGGAGAGGAGATGATCTCCAGTGAGGCGAAGGAATTTGAGATGGGAACTTGGAGGAGGGAGGGTGACAGCAGAAGGTGGCAGGTGGGGTTAGTTCCCCAGGAGAAGGTACAGGGGCAGGGGAACTTTCCTGAGCGGGCAGTGCACAAGCTCCATTGTATGAAGGAACCTCTCTGACCTGGAAGGAAGGGGGGACATGATGTTCCTTGGGTCATAAGTTTTAGATGCCTCCCATAAGTCTGGAGACTGACCTGTCAGCTGGGAGGACTGTGTAATAAATAAATAAAAACAGAGTTTAAATACTTTCATCTTATTTATATCCTGGATGTTTCACGCTTGATTACTGTCTAGCTTGAGTAAGGTTGCAGAGCTTTGCTTTGCAAAACCTAAATATTTTGGGGCTTTAATTCAAGGCTTTTTATAAAGGAGAAGTAAACGTGGTCTGGGTTGGTTTGACTGGCCAGAAACAGCAGCTTCTCTGTAATTCTTTCTGAGGAACTATCAAGGTTTGCAAGGAGCAGGCTGGATACATTATTTGGGTATGTCTCTCTTTGTATGCTTGTTACGAGTCCCGCAGCATTCGCTGTAGCTACATGGGAGGTAGTTTGGCCCTCTCGGGTGGTGACGATACGCAGCCTTGCAGAGGCCCCCTAAAAGCAAAGATGTGCCCACGGTGGTCTAACACAGCAGGTTAGAGGGGTTGGTACTGCTTTACGCTGCGTGGGTCGGGGGGGAGGTGTGCTTCAGTTGGCAGGTACTGCTGTAAAACAATTCTAGGATATGTTTTACACTTTGAGCACTTGTTTCATCTGTTTGAAATAATTCTTATTAGCGTGATTGCTCCCAATGCTTTTTAAGGAAAAAGTGTTTTCTTAAACAGTTGAATATAGAGAAGGAGGAAAAATGCAAGTAAACAAGCCAAACATTAATTAGTGTTCTCTCTTAGAAGCTGGCAGAACCTTGGTCATACTGATTCATTAAAGATTGCTGTCCCTTGTCTGCTGCAAAGGTAAGACTTGTCTTATCAGATGGCAATGGGGTGGTTGCTGCCTGCAAACTTTCCACTTGCATGTAAAATGCATTTCAAATTATTTCTGTTCAAAGGCACAAAATAAAAAAAGTTAATGCCTTAGCTCTTAAAAGCCAGAAGTAAACTTGCATCACCATATCATCTCATGGTTCTGTAGCATCTGGAACTCCTCGTCAGGGAACACAACCCCACTGTACTGCTTTGGGTGGTGTTTGAGCAGAGCAAGGGCAGCCTGCTGCTGCCTGCCTGTGGACTGTGGGTGAGTACGGACAGGCAGAAGAGCACAGATGATAACATGTACCAGTCAGCCCTAACGATCAGGGACCTCAGCGTGCCGTCAGGTTCTACAGCTGTACACTACAAATCAGGACTTTTAGAAGCACTGTTGAATATTAGTTCCTTTCTGTGAAGGACAAAGACAATACCTGCCTTATTTAGAGCCACGTAAACATTCAAACCCTTCTTTGTTGCCTCAAAGGAAAATAACTCGGTGAGGAACTCAAAGCCAAGATGGATTACTTCTGGCTGTGCTCTAGGAGTGTTGTCTAAGGCCAGACCAGAAGGTGGTGTCAGGTGGCTACTTGTAGTTATTAAGCCAAAGAGTAAATAGTGTCTGTTAAAGATCAAAACAGCAGCCTTGTAGTATTCCATTGGGATGGAGTAGTCAGGGATGTAACATAGTAAAGTTCCCCCTGAGGCTGATGAATGAGGACATCGAGCTCACTTGGCTTAATTCATTTCTCATTTTAGCTTTATATTTCACCTTTAACCCGAAATTCACTTGCAACAGAAGGTTAATGAATTAAGAATTAACTTCTTTCAGGAGCACTCGAAAACAATTATATATTCTCACCTCTTATTTGAAACTAATGACAGGTATAACCTAAATCCTGTATCAGTTTTCATTTAAAATTACTATTCTTGAATTTTTTAATTTCTTTCTTTAAAAGAACAGGGAAAGGAGTTTTTTGTCTCCCTTCCCCAGTTCTAAAGGAGTAAACTCTTCTTTGTATCAGCATGTTGTCTTCAGTTTGCAGTAGAGGTGCTTTCACTAGCTGTGAAGCTGCCAGGAGCTCAGGTTGATCAGGTTGCTTATCGAGCTGATCATATGTTGCTTCAGTGTTTTTCAAATGTACTCACTGGGGATATTTGTTTTAAAGACAAAGCTGGCTGGGATTAAATGCAATACTGGTGTTTAAAAATAGTAAAAAAAGAGCAATACTGTTATCTATCTACTAAAAATCTCAAAAGCTTAAATTTAAATATAGATCCAAACTGCCTGACATTTAACCAAAAAAATCCCCAAACTTCTGTAGAGAAGTTTCCCATAGCATTAAGAAAACCACAGCAATTAACTAGTAATTCATCCAGGTTTAAGAGACTTTAATTTTTTTTTTTTCTTTTCAAAACATAGGATCACAACACAACTTCAGAGGATGCTGGTGTTGTGTGATTTCCCAAAGAGCTTGTATGAAAAGTTTGTTAATTTTTTTCAGTCCATCTCACTTCCATGTCACTGTTTTGGCTTCTCAAATAGGTATGTTCTTTGGTTTATGTTTACAGAATAACATTTTATACAGTGACCTGATTTAAAAACAGCTCTATAGAATGGTTCTTTCACTGGTAGTGCTAGGTATGAGCATTTTATGGGAAGATTTCAGTGTTTGTCCTGTCCTTACAGGAGTTGTTGTTTGATGCTATGGCTAAGTTGTTGTGCATATAGCTCTTTTTCCTTTTCTACCCACCCCACCCCCCCAGCAAAAAGTGAGCTGTAAACTCAAAATGTTTTATTGGTAAATCTTCATGTTACTTAAGAGAAATAAATTATGGTGTACAAACAAAACATGGTTAACAATGACTTTAATTTTGTACTTGCAGCTTGAATGTTGTGCCATGGGACCACGTATTACTGACCACTGTCTTAAAAGGCCAGAACATCACTGGCCGAAGAACGCAGAAAGGAAGAAAAGTTTTTCTGTGGGAAGCACTCCCTGTAATTGAGGCTCGAGTGGAGAGAATGGTAGACAAAATGAAGTAAGATCAGTTTGGTCTTGTTTGGGGTTTTTCATTTCATGAACCCAGCTTTTGCATCTCACGTGGTATTGACCACAGTGGTGTTTTCCTGACATCTGCGGTTTTGTATAATGGGGAAACATACAAAACAAAGACACATTTGAAGCTGTTTGTGCCCATTGCTTCTTATCAACAAGGCCAGGTTTTGAAGCTTTTCAGGGTAGAATCAAGCCGTTTGAACACTTCAAGACCAGAAAAGAATATTGAAGCGGATAATTTCTTTGGTTCCATAAACCCAGTAGGTTTTCGACGTGGATGTTTAAAATAAATTATGTTCATCAAAGGCTGACTAGGTGGAAGACAGCAAAAAAGGGCCTTCTGGTCTCTGGACCTGAGAAGTCTTTATTCAAAAGAATACAGTCCACTTAAAGAATTAAATTGAAAGGCAACCTCCTGTATTGTTTTACCAGAGTACAGAGATAATAGTGGATAGCTTCTTGGAACTTAGTTCCAACTGTCTCTTTCTGACCACTGTATTTCTCTCCTCTTGTGCAACAATCTCTTGTGTGGGAAGATCTGCTTCATTAATTGTAATATATATTTGATTGGCCTGTATATAGCTTTACACTTCCTTCCTCTTTCTGCTCACCCTCTTCTTTTTCTCTCCAGCTATAAAGAAGTTGTTCGCTACCTGAGAGCTGTGAAATGCAATGATACCAAAGGGTAAATAGCCTTTTTTTCTTTTTTTTAACTGTTTCTTTGCCTTAAGATTCCCAGTCTGTGTTTCCTCAATGTGCAATAAACTGGCAGACTGAAAAGCAGTAGGATTTGGGCAGCTGTTTGCTGGGTGAAAGCAGTACTGCATTGCAACTAACTTCTGCCTTATTGGATGTAACTTACTAGTGGTCAAGCATAAGCAGATCTATTGTTGTAAAACTTGTATGATAACAAAAATCAAACATTCATTTCTTCTTTCCAGGTTAAGAGACCTCCGAGATAAAATCCCCTTCTATTTGTGTAAAACTGGGGACTTTCTCGACGCTGCACATTCGCTGCTGTTTCCTGTCAACAGCCTGGCCTGCTGCACGGCCTGCCGGGTCACGCCGGGGCAGTTCGAGGTCTACCTGAAGATGTTCAGGACAGGCAGTGTCCCCATTGGAAATGATATACTAGACTCTGGGCCCTGGATTACAGCTGGCAAGTGTGACTTCTTGCTTACATGTGTTACTTAATTACAGCTTGTACTTCTTTATTAAATCCAGTAATTTTCAGAGGGAATCTCAACCCAACTATAAATTGCCCAGACTAAAGCATGGTACATAACACTAGGCAGGAAGAATGTCTTTACAGCTGAGCATTGATTTGTTTAGTACACTTCACACAAAACGCTAGTTTTGTCAGCTGTGAAGTTGCTTTGCTGAAACCTGTTAAAAGAAAATACAAAGCTCTCTGTTACATCATGGCGTTACCAATGGCAGCGTGTAACGTGGCATTATGGTATGTCTCAGCCTTGACCTTGAGAATAAATACTTCCTGATGGAAAGGGCTTCATGATCTGTATGTTACATTTTGTCATTAGTTTAGCTGTGGATGACTGATGAGCTGCCTTGGGGTGTGCTATATCTCAAGGCATATTCTGAAATGAAAGATTTATTTTGGAGACATTCAGCTACTATGGAATTCTTAGACATATGTGATGCAGACAGTGTGTATCGTACTGTAGTGTGATGTACATAAAGAAGACTTTGTTCTGTGATGGCTCAGTCTAAACTGCATTCAGTTCTTTGCAGCTTTCCAGAATAATATTTTACAATTGATGTTGTTTTTCTACTCAGAACCTACAAAACACTGTAAAATAGCTGTAGACACTCATTTGTTTCTTTGTTAGGTTTCTGTAGAAACAGCTCTGCAACCAAGTTAATATCTTGTTTGTATTCATGCTCTATAGTTATTATGAGAATATAAAATATGGTTTTAATATTTTTCTTCTTGCAGGGTCTCCCTTGAAAGATGGTGTTCTGATTAAGCAGGCGCTCAAACTCCTTTACAGTAATGTGTTGCTGTACAGAAATGTGAGTGTATTAAACCTGTGTTTGTGTAGCCCATTGCCTTTTTCTGTACATTACCTGTTTTGTCCAATTACTTCTCTATGCAAGGATTTACTATCAGAACCCTTTTTTTTTCTCTGAATAGTTTACCCCTCTGAACGGATTTGACTTTGTAAAGCAAATGTTCTGCTGTGTTTCAGCCTAAATGCTGGAGCTCCCTCATCATGATCCTGGGTAGTAGCAGTTTGCTGGAAAAAAGTGGGCACCTCCATCCCCTATCACTGAAGGAGCCACCACTTGACTTCCAGAAGGTAACTGCGCCAGTACTATGAAGCAAGAGGCTGTTGTCTTGGTTTTACACAAGACTTCCTTTTGATGTGGGCATTGGCTCATTCTAAATACTAAGGTTAACTTTACAGTGCCTCACTGAATGCTCATGCGATACGTGCTAAATGTAACACTTTGCAAAATGTTGTGTTAAATGCAACAGTAAACAGATTAACTCTGCTTGCAACTCAATGCCTGATACTGATTCTACATCCTTTAATGTTGAGATGGATCAGATAACACAATGGATATGAAAGCAGTTTAAGAAAAATGTGCTCAGGTAGCCCTGAAGAGTCAGTATCTGGGTATTTTCACAAGAACAAATATACCTACTATGCTTAGCAGACAGCTTAAAACAAAGAGGTTATGTGATATGGTTTGGTTAGTACTTTAAAGCCTGAACTTTCCTTGAGTATGGTGTTGAACAGTCAGCCTCCAATGTAAAAATGCTGAAAAAATAAGTAAAAGCACATCAGAGAACCATCTTGGGCACTATTTGTTTGTAGAGTATCTGGACATCCTTTCCCCTTCACTGGTGACTGATTACTTCTGTTGCAGGGGGTGCTTGCTGCTGGTGGTGGCCTTTTGGAGGAACTGAAGGCAAAAATTAATGTTTCTTTACCACCTGCTATTTTCTCTCCTCATGTAAGTGTGCTTGTGGCAATAAGGAGACTTACCATTTGTGTTATTGTGCTTGAAGGTACAGCAGTATTGAAAACAGTCAGATTATTATGAAAAGCTTTTAGGAGGGTCTTGAAGATTTTTTGGGGAAATCTGACTGTTCTTGGCACAGTCTAAAGGCTGGAGCATGTATCTGAAGGGAAGAAAACTATTAGGGTCTGTTCTGGTCTGACACCACCTTCAACCTAGGACAAGTCTTACTGTATCAAATTTATGCATTTATAAAGGGGGGGGGGGTGTTTATACTTGATTCTGTCTTAACTTCTCGCAGGGTGATCTTGTGCTGTTTGACTCAAACAGGAGACTGTCCTCTGAGACTTGACAGTGTGCTTGTCTCAAAATTCAGAATAGCCCAGAATTTCTAAACTTACTTTGATTGAAGGTTTCAAGAATAGTGGAACCTATTTAAAGATAGCTTGAAATATATTCTGTATTAAATGCAGTCAATACATCTAAGGAACTATCTTACTCCTTTTTACTTCTTTTGAGGAAATTTAGCTTACTCTCCAAATATGTGACTCCTGGGCCAGATTTTTTTTTTTTTTTTTTTCACCCCTTTAATTCTGTTTCTGTGACAGTGTGAGACTTCATGTTTCTATGAGGACTTTGAGAGCACCAGGTGAAACGTGCTGTATAAATTGAAGTAACTGTTCTATTCCCCTGTCTGTTAGTCTTCATAAGATTCTTCGGAACATGGTGTCGGACATCCAACCTATCTGATCAGAGTGGTATTGACTTAGTGCTGATTTGACTGGCTATGATATACAAGTAGTGGGAAACTGGGCTTTTAAATAGCTGTTTTCTTTTTGATATCTCTTCCTGTAGTTGCAGCATGAGGCTTGTCTTATTCTTGCTGTGCAAGCAATACAACAGATGCTTTTCTGTGATCTTCCGTACTTGACTTCCTTCTTGGAGATAGCCCTGGCTTTTGGGGTGAGTCCTAGATACTGATCTCTGTTCTAAGAGATGAAAGCAAGTTATGTTGAAAATCTGTGTAACACCAGCTTGGAGATTTTAAACACGTTTAACTTGGGTTTTTTTCCCCTTTAGCTTTGCTGAACTCTATTTTAGTCTGTTTTTTTTAAGAAATGGTTGGCAATTAGGTTAAATCACTGGTCTTATTTTGTCGCTTCCTAGAATAACTTTTGGGCTCTGAGGCTGTTATTGGAACATCTTTCCTATGAAGAACACATTCTCCATGGCACCGTCAACCTGATTTTGAGAGATCTAAATCGTCAGAAAGCAACAATGCTAAAACTGTGAGTAAACACTTGTCCCCTGAAGTCTGTCTGTTTATGGGGACAGTAAGAGCAGTCCCGCAGCAGTAATGTTCAGCCAAGATATAATCCTTAGCTCTTTGAAACCAGCCCAGTGCTGTGGGGAAGACGAGAACACAAGTAACATGCTAGGGATCAATAGGAAAGTTGTCTCTGTTGATCAGCTGTGCTGCGTTTCCTGGTTTTGTATTGCTTAGGTGGGAAAACCTTGGTCCCCAGTACGTGGGGGAATTCCTTTGCCTGTTCCTGACATGCAGACATAAGAAGATGCAATCCATTGGCCTGTTCACTCTGAATATTATTATGGAGAATCTGCATATGTAAGTGTGAATATTCATCATGGCCAAATAGAAAATCATTGTGTGTTGCAACACAGATGGTAGTTTTCCTCTTAATTAACAGTCAACTCACAGTTCATTCTTGCTTTTTATTCTTCCCTGTTATTAGCAGTGGTAAGGATACTGAACACGATGGTTTGGGTATTATTTGTGTGTTACCTGTTGCTAACAAATGGCCTTCTCACTTCCCAGTGTTATGAAAACACGTTATCTGCTCTTGGCAACCCTGACCAGTCATCGAGATTACAGATGGTACAGTCTAGTTCTGTTACTTACAAATAGTGCTGTCATCCACTACAACCAAAAAAATCTTAATTAGGATTTGCAACAGAGTAGCTACTGGACTCTAAGGAGGCATAATACTCCATAAAACTTTATTTAGAGAAAATAGTTGAAAGTATCTCAAAATGTATCTACAAGAATACAGTGGGTGTAGAGATGTCAATGTTCCTTTTAGACTTGTACAAAGCACTTCATGCAGTGGTGAGGGAGTAGATCCCCACCGAAACCTAAAAATTCAGGGATGTATGTGCACCGTAATACATCCTGAGGACAGCATTAGGCTTGTGCCTGTCATTCCTGTCCTCTTTTAAAAATAAGAGAAACGACTTGCTCTGCAGCAGCATAAAGCTTCAGTGGGTTGGGAAAACAGTTCTGAAAAAATTGAGTCCTTTATTTAGATTACAAATGCTAATAAACACTGGTGTGTCACTTTTAAAACTACTGGCTGTTTATAAGTATAGTCCTTTAGCGTGATAGACATTAATGTATTGACATAATAGTTTTAAAATGAATTGGCTGTGGTTGCATACTGGAAGGCAGAGTAATTGCCTGCTCGGGCGCTTCTAATTCACACGTAGCTGATGGCAGCAGAGTAACATTGAGAATTCACCTCTTAGTAACTGTCTTCAGTGGAAATCATGGACATGTAAGTTGTCTTTCTTTGTGAAATACTGTTTCGTCTCTCCAGCCTTTGCTGTGTATAGCTGAGAAAATAAAACACCTAATTTCACTCAGTTGTGCATGAGCTAAGCTGTATTTTACAAATTTGCAGTTTCAATGATTGTCTTTTTTTGTTTTGTGAGGTTTTATGGTATGCTCTGGCAGGGATCCAAGAGAATGCAATGAAATCCTATTTCTAGAGGTCTATCTTTGTCTTAATTATTTTACTGTACATCTGATGCTGAAGTGATCTCCATTTGGAAGCTGAAGTGAATTGCTGGATAGTCTTTCTTGTAAAGCTTTGATCAATGCAGAACTCGGAGGGGCTGAGACTGGGGGCAGGTGTGTCCCTGGGAGAAAATGGAGTAAGACTCTGTATCTGTTTTTCAGGTGTCCATGGGCAAAACATCTTTGCAACTTCTTTCACAATGCAGTGAGTATCTGTATTTTAAAATTTAACAACAAAGCGTATCAGTGACAACTATATTACTTATCACTTATTTATGTATATCAGTTGATATGTATCAAATATATCATGTGTCAGTGTCACTTGTTATAACACTATTATAAAAATTACTGAAGTACACTAACTAATTTTCTTTCTCTGCCCAGGGATTAAGGCACCTGCCCCTTGGTGCTGCAGCTCATCATGAAGTCTCCAAGTTCATAAACATTTTTGAAAAACTGTAATTTGGCAAAATCTTCAGGAATATTTTTCTTCCAACTTGTCTTAATCTGAGAAATCTCTCCCTGGAGTCCCTTTGGTTCTCATCTCCAAAAAGATCCAGCTAAAAACTCACTTCAGACAAATCCAAAGATAGGATCCTTGGTTAAGATGGTGAAGAGTGGCGTTTCAGCAGATATGTTTTGGGAATTTCCTTTCTTGCAGGTCCATGTATTAAAGCAGTTGTTTAAAGAGATGGTGGGTTTCAGTTTCTTTGGTGGTTTTTTTTTAAAAAAAGCTGGTCTAAAGGGAGATGCTGATTTGGGGGGAATGAGGGGAGAAACATCGATGAAGCAGGAGGCAGCACAGGTCTCTACTTCTGGTGTGTTGCAGGGATGCGCTGTGGGCGAGATGTCTGCAGCAGGAAAACTGCCTCTCCACGGGTGTGCAACGGTATAGTAGTGCTGTTTGCACACCCTCTTTTCTTTAGTGTACAGTCATACAAAATGAACCACTCTGGAGGCTGAAGGACATTAACTGAAGCTTTCTTACTTGATTCAAGAAACCAGATTCAGGAAGGCCTAATGCAGTAAATAGCTGGTTATGTTTGTAAGAAAAAAAAAAAAAAAATCTAATTTTCAGGGTTTTCCAATTGTGGGGCTTTTGTTTTAGTTTCTACAATAGGTGACTGTTAGACTGGTGCTGAGGGTTCTCTGGGTTTCTCAAATCCATGTTACAGTAGCTAAGTATGAGTTAGCTTTTGAACTGTGGAGGTAAAAATAGACAAATATTTCTAAGCCTGATTTATACTCTTTGCCCCACTACGATACCTGTCTGTGTTGGTTTGGCAGTCAAGGGAAAAGCAATTTTAATATGTGATGAGCTGTATTTTGCACATTTAAGACTTTCAGTGGCTTTTGCAGCTTTTGTTAACCTAAATAAGCCACACTAGTCAAGGTTTCTACAAAAGCGTACATTTATCTAAGTTGGCACAATGTTAAATAAAACTCCATAGAAATACTGTTGTGTTGTCTGTTCTGGTTTGGGGTTTTTGGTTTTGGCTGGGGTTTTTTGTTGGGTTTTTTCTTTGTTTGTTGTTTTGGGTTGGTTTTGGGTTTGGTTTGTGGTTTGTTTTGTCCTTTTTTTTTTTTTTTAATTAAATGGTGCTCCCCTCATAGTCAGGAATCTGGCTCTGCGATTGCCACCTGGGCTGGCCATGCTGTGTCTTGTTCTGGTCTGTGCTGCTGGAGATGCACTGAGGGGTTTCATTCCAGCTTCCAAGAGGCGTTTATGCACGTTCTTAATAAAGGGATCTCTCATGTTATGGCTGAAGGGGAGGAAAACAAGGCTGCAAATGTTGATAGTCTTGGTAGGTGCTGTACCTGTGTTCCCTGCTTTTGCTCTGTGCAAGAGCTTTCCCTTCCTGACTGACAGTCGGGCCTGTGATGCTCCAGTGCTTTCCCAGCAAGGCAGAGCATGGGCAGCTCTTCTGAACTCTCCAAACTGTGTTCAGCCCCGGGCACGCTCCCGGGAAGGGGTTACACTGTGTTTTGTTGCTTTGCTGGGAGTGTGGAAAGACAACAGCAGCACCAAGTACAGCCCTAATACCAGACTGAACTTGGGCTGGGTGTAGACTTCAGTGAGGGCAAGGGTTGTGTTACCCCTTGGAGCCTGGATTTACCATCACAGAGAAGGGCTAGGAACTGCTTATTTACTGTAAGTAAACAACATTTCTATTCATTATTTATCTGCTTCTGAATTTTAATGAATTATAGAGGCCCTTATAGTGAGGATTATACTATAGATAATGGTATAATTTTCATGCATGAGAAAAAGACTTTTTCTGAAGATTGGTCCTGGGTTGGATGGACGGTCACTACTACCAACCACAGCAGAAAGCCTCTTCCCGGTATCCTGAGACTATGACTAAGTATAACCCCAAAGGTAAGCTGAAGGCTGGTCTCATCTGCTTTGCTCCAGGTTTAATTGAGATGAACAGAGCTCATTAAAAATTGAAATGCGTAGTTTGGAGAGGAAAATGGGCGCCTGGAGTTGTCTCATCCAAATATTGTATTTTAGCAAACACAACTCTGCTGTTTTAGCAAGTGTATGTACAGCTGATACTGCCAAATGTTTGTGAGTAAGTGCCTGTATCAAACATAAAGCTTCATCTGGAAACAGTGAAGTCTGATGTTCTTCAAGTCTGGCCCAGGAGCATCTGGGACCGGCCGTGGGGGTGGTTTGCAGAGCAGTTCTGAGGGTGGGAAGCCTGAGCCTGTTTCCTGGCCACATGCAGTGATGGTGGAGACGACGGGGGTGTCATGTCCCAGTGGCACCTGCAGGTCGCATCCCAGCATCTCTCTGGCAAACAAAGCCGTTGTTGACTCCAAAACCTGTGTTTTCTCTTGTAAACTTAAAATCACGGTTCTGACTGCAAAGTCATCTGACACAGGACTTTGCTCCTTTTATTTTAAGGGGAATAATATTGAATGTGAATAAAATGTGAAATAGTTAGGGACAGGGTTTCTGAAACATGGTGCTAATACACTAATTGTTTAGGGAATTTTCAGTATAATATTTGAGAACAAACCCACCCCCCTGCCAGGTACTGCTGGTAAACCCATGGGGCTCAGCAGTGTAAGGTGTTGGTGACGCTGAGCCTGAGATCTTTCTAGATTGGAACAGAAAAGGGGAAGGAGGTGGCTTCCCCCTCTCAGCCCCAGGGATCAGGGTGGATTTCTACAACAAAATTGTCAGGGTGAGACAGCACCACACCACAGCACCAGTGCGGCTGAGGGTGATGCCCAAGACCCTCACCAAACCTGCTGCCGCAGCCTGTGTTACACTTCCCAACCGCGGGGGCTGTGAGAGTGCTGAGACTGTTTCTACCAAGGACACTAATTAACCTGCTAAATGAATTTATCTGTTTGACGTGTGCACCAGAGAATGGAGTTATCTAAAACACCATCCCAAAGAGAGCCATAATTAGCAGCCAGCACTGAGGGCAGACCCCCCTGCTTCCCAGGGCTAGTGGGGGCTGTTGGCCAGGGGAGGGTGGCTGGGGTGAGGGGCCAACATCCCCTTCCCTGCCTGGGCAGTTCTCCCCCCACTCCCAAACCTGCTAACTAACACAGGAACAGCAGGAAGGAGTAGGATGCAAATCATGGGACAAATGAGAGTCATGCTCTACCAGGTGCTGGCCCAGCCAGAAATACTCTGTTTTAATAACTGGACTAAGCAAAGTTTAAAAAAAAAAAAAAGCAAAGCAAAAAACAGCTCATTGCTGGCTGCCAGATTAACAGATGGCTACAATCATTAATATTGCAAAACTTCAGGAGTTCATAATTCTTTAATCTACAAAGCTGGTGGGTGTAGCTAATGCGAGCACTGCAATCTGCCAGGCTGGGGGCTGCCACCCACCCACCCACCACGGCCGGGGCTGTCCCGGACCCCGCCTGGCCAGGACAGGGCTCCCTGCCTGCACCAGAGGAGCCTGCGGTCAGGCAGCTGCTGCTGCTGGTGGGGATGAGCTTAATGAACCCCCTGGCCTTAGGGCTGGTGGTGATGGTGGCTCCTAAATTTACTGGGCACTGCACCCATGCAGCTCTGCTGGCCCCTGCTCAGCCCTCGCTGCCGTCAGATCACAGAAAATCCACAGAAATCCAATAACCCGTCTCCAGTGTCATTTTATCGTTAAAGCCAAGCCTTTCCCATAATTGTTTGGAGGCAACACGGGGAGATTATGATTGATGTCAACAGCCGGATAATCTGCGGTTCAGTTCGGTATCGCTGACCTCGTTAATAGGTGCTGGTGGCATTCGGAGCAGGGGGAGCGTGTCCTGAGCCACAGCCACCCCAAGGAGCCCCATGACTAAGAAAAGCCCAGCACTGATGCTGCAGTAAAAAAAAAAAAAAAGAAAATTATTTCCTTTGGGTGAAAAGCCTCATGCTGGGGCTGCAGCGGGCTCAGGGTTTGGCCACAAAGCAGCTCCCTCAATTCCTGGCCAAGCCCCAGGCTCCAGCATCTCTCCTGGAGAAGGCAGAGGGATGCTTTCACGGCTATCAACGGCTTGGGGACCCCAAGGGCTGGCGGGGACCCCAAGGGCTGGCAAGGGACCCCAGCTGACCCCAGCCCTGCACCGTCCTGCTCCGGGCACGTTGACGGTGCAGAGGCTGGTGGGGCTTCTCCTTCGGTCACGTCGGCGGTTCAGGACATCAGGCTTCTCTCAGTAGAAATAGCTTTGGTGGTTTAATGCAATAAAGGCTTCTGCCTGCTGGAAGAGGCATTCTATATATGTACATGTGTATAGGATGTATTTAGATATGTGTCTTTTTATATTATAGGTATATATATTTATTATATTTATGTATTTTATGTCATATCTGTTCTATAATACATATAAGATAATATAAACATCATAACTACACACACATAATATGAATAATCGATCGCCATATGTACATTACATATAGATGTGCATGTGTGTGTATGTGTAAATAGGTACATATGTAGACATAGACACACTTTTTTATTTTCATAATGTACATGTATATTAGATATTCATATGTGTTTGTATAATTGGGTAAACCCAGCCCAGGTGTGTTTTACAGCCGCCCGCACGGCCACGGGCCCTGGCCCCGCACGGATGGGTGTGAGAGAGGCGACTGGGGCAGTTTTTCTTTGTGGAAACCTTGCTTTGCTTTTTTTTTTTTTTTTTTTTTTTTTTAAAAAAGCACAACGCAGCTGTCACCATAATTACCTGAAATTTTTTTAATTCATTGTTTAATGAGATGGAGTGATGTGTTTGGTTTTTGGTTTTGGTTTGTTTGTTGGTTTGGTTTTTTTTTTTTCTTCTTCTTCCTCACTTTCTTTATAGTTTTGCTTTTGCAACAGTTACATCTCCTGCAGTCATCTGGCCACTTCGTGGGCTTTTTCCCCTCCCTGTAAGTCACACATTATAATTTTTTAATGTTGTTGCACTTTTCCCTTTGTGCTGATCCTGCCCCTTCAACCCACCATATGCCAACTGCTCACTTTTTGCATTTATCTGTTTTTTTTCTCCGTTTTTTTAGCTAACCACTCCCCGGTCCTCCGCCCCCCCGCTCAATCAGCATCAGAGAAATGGGAAGAAACAAGAAATCTGGGGAAGCCTGGGGGGGG